TTTGTTCGATTTTGTCCTGAAATACACTGGGTTCCCCCCTACTACTTTCCTCCATTATTTTACCCTGTATGTCACCATTGCTTTGATTAGAGCAAGGCATTAGCTTTGTGCTACTAGAAATTGGCGGAACATAATCATTTGAGGATTCTGGTTGGGTGCTCAATACAGGGAAACAGTAGGGTGCATGAATCAAATGCCATCTATTTCTTCGGGGAATAAAATGATTGTCGAAAATCTGCATTACATCTTGAAAGGATGCATTCTCCACTGGTTGATTTTGAAGTAAAATATCTTCTGCTTCATTTCCCATTAAATACAACAGTAGGTCTAATTTATCCTTGTCAGATTTTTGTCCAAATCCACTTACAGACATATATCTCTCTACTCTTTTCTTCCATTGGGGCCATGTCTGGGGCTGTGTAAAATCAAATTCGCTTGGAGCCGAAATGTTCGCAAACACTTCTTTATTTATTTGGATAGGTGCATCCATTTTAAGGATTTTAGGTCCCCTCTGATTTATAGGTTATGCATAAGATTTGCACTGTTGTCACGTTCGACCACTCTTTGCTTGTTTAATGTTAACAAAACAAAGCACCAGCTGCCACCATGTCGTGTTATCAAAGAGGGGTTACAAATAATAATCGTTACTTCACAACATCAGTTTATTCTCAACCCTCAAACATACATGCTTGCCCGAGCTTCGGCTACGTTCACATGACATCCCTGTCATCTGTGTTGCCTAACTCCGGCGCCTATATCTTAATCTAAGCTAACAACACACAATGCTAGTCAAAAACTTAAAAGAGAGATTCAAAACATATAAAAAGACTAAAACGTCCAGTCATCCATTACACCGGAAGACGGTAGCTGGGCTAGAAGCAATAAGCAAATGGCAGAGATATTTGACACATATTTCGAAAATACATTCCAACATCCCCGAAGGAAGTAGATGATGAAATAAAAGACAATATAAATCCGAAGGAAACACCAGGATATGATTTAATCACTGAAGAATTACTAAAAAACCTGCTTCGCAAAGCTAGAGTAAAATTCATCAATCTAATTAATGCTGCATTTAGATTGAGATATGTCCCAAATGTATGGAAAGAAGCTGAGATTATAATGATACCAAAACCAGGGAAATTGATGTCGAAGTTGTTTGACAAACTCCTTTAAAAATAATGAAACCAGCAATAGAAGATAAAAAAATAATTGTAAACCACCAATTTGGCTTCATCAATAAACATTCTACGATTGATCAGGTACACAGAATTATTAACATATGTAATTGAAAAATCATTAGAAGAAAAGAGAGGCTGTTCTACGATATTTTTAGACGTAGTTAAGGCTTTTGGCAAAGTATGGATGAAGGTTTAAATCTACAAACTTTAAACTCTTATGCCTAAACAATATTCAGAAATTTTGGAGTCGTACATATCTCATAGATATTCATAATTAAACAAGAAGGCTATACACCAATCTACAAGAAATAAAAGCAGGGATGCCACAAGGAAGGGTATTAATTAGTTTCAGTTCTCTAGACATGCCTGAAGTAGAAAATTATACTATAGCCATGTTTGCAGATGGTACTGATATTGGCTGATGGGAAGAAATTCAACATTGTCCATACATAACAAACAAATGCTATACAAACAAATACTAATACCAGTATGGACGTATGGTTACCAACTCTGGGGCTGTGCCAAGTCAAGTAATATCCAGATCATACAGAGATTCCAGAATAAAGTATTAATGAATATCGTTGATGCTCCTTGGTACATCAGAAATGTCATCCTCCACAAGGTCCTTAAGATGGAAGATATACAGTTATCAAGAAGAACGAACAACAGTTCCAGTCATATAAACATTGAGACCATCCAGCTCCTCGATAGTACTGGGTTAGAATAGTTATAAATAAGACTAAAAACGGAGAAAATCATTCGAGTTAGTATATTTATGTAAAGTGCTAACTACTGTCAAAAGCAGAGCATAGTGTTATGTTGTGTACTAGCTATAGTACACAGTTTTTAGATAAAATAAGACGACACCATAGGGTTAAAAAATTTAAGTATTTTTAAGTAAAAAAAGAATTAATAAAATTGGTCAACTGTGACCAGATTTCAGTGGTATAAGCACAGCTTTGGTATTTAATAAAAAATATCCCGGAATGCATTTGAGCCTTAAATAATCTTAAAAAAATATTTGAAATTCCAAACATCTAACGATAATTATTTTAAAATATTTGTCGAATTAGCACAATACTTGCTAGAGATTTGGATAATGATCCTGAATTTCCAATCTCGAAGCTTAGGAAAAATACCGTTTATTTGATTACGAGGGCAATGATGAATCAGTTTCAAATCCCGTCCAGCAGTTCATAAAGACTGCTTTCTATTTTGCAATTTTTGAACACGCCATCCTCTCAGTAAGTGAAACATTTTAATTATTTTCTGAGTGCTATTCAATATTCAGTGTACTTAACAAGCTGAAGTAAGAACAGTGGGTTCAAGTTACGGCCAGCCTAGACGGTTCAAAAACAACAGAGCATAGCAAACCTTAAAAACTCCTTGCCATAGCCGAGGGCAAATACTCAAAATCAGGCTTCCTCAAAAGAAAGTTCCATTTCCTCTAGCCAAACTTCTACACAACACTGGCAACGAACTTCCTGATGAGTATTTGGACGTCCTAGAAGCAATCAAATATCGCAAAAACATAACTGAATGCCAAAAACGCTGAATCAAGAGCCGTTCCTAGTATGGCTTGCTTTATTCCCACCCCTAAGCTCCACAAAAAAGGAGCAGCCCTTCCTTGAAGAAGCGCAAGCTTATAACATTCGGATCTTGATCTTTAGAAGCCTGCATGAACTTAAGATTTAATGACAGATAGAAGAGGAAGAAAAATATAGACGGTAAAGAACTCTATAAAGAAATAACTTCATTTAAATATACTTTTCCTGGTGAAAATCAGGTAACTGAAATATTATTATAGTCAAAAATAATCTCATCTCGTTTATTTTTTACCTAGTGTTTCTGTGGCTTCAGGCGAAGGTAGTTTCAGTAAATTAAATATTACATAAGTACTATAACCCAAACAAGGCTTACGGATTTGGTCATAATGGCTTATCGAATCCAAATTCTCAGAAAAAATTGATAAATGATTCATTTGCTTCCCAGAAAAGTTAGTTTATAAATAATTAATAGAACTGTTATAAGGTAGGTAGAAGAGATTTATAAACTTTTCGATTAAAAAGATTTATGCGTAAGTACTTTTTGCTATAATGATTGTATTTTCATAGTGAATACTGTTTGTGTTACCAATTAAAAAAATGTTTATTTTTAGTATCTTGTTTTTTAAGTATTTTTTTCATTATTATAACCCGTCTGGCCAAAAAATAAACTTTTGTTTCAAATTTTATTTGCATTTTTATGTGTTCTACTTTTTATTCCTAGACACCCATGTGTGATGAGTTTATGTAATCGTTAGTAATAATAAAAATATTCTCTGAGAGAAGGGCACATTAGGATCCCTAGGATCGGCCTGGTTATTTGGAAGCTCACAATTTACAATCAAAATAAGATATTGTTCTGAAGATATTTTCTTGTGGCATTTTACTGTGATTATAAAAGACTGATGTGTTTGTACATACTTTGACAAATTATTGAACGGAAAAGAAAAGTATTTTTGCAAGTGTAACTATTTAATTCCTAGCTGAGCGCTTTCTCCTTACAAAGCCATAATCAGAGCTATGGTCAAATTCATAAAGTACCACTACTAAAAAGGGATCAGACTGGTGGAAAATACAAAATTTACTAAAAATAGCTTTAAAATCAGAAAAAGTCATTCAAAAGATAGCACATTAGACTCCACAAAAACACATTAAAAAGTTTATTCATGGTACGGATTATCTGAGCATCTAGATGGAGTTAAAGGGACAGACATAATGCTTCGAATGAAATATATATAAAAAAAATGTTACGAAGTCTACATCTATAATGCAAGAAATGTGAGATGTTTGCAATATTAGAATTTTACACAAGAGAGCAAAAATTTAAAATATAGCAAATATGTAAAAATACATAAAACATATAATAGAAGAGACATATAAATAAAATCACTAATCTAATGATTAATTATCCAATGGGATTAGTTGGAAAGACAGGAAAAATGGATATCAAAATCATGAAAAGATGAGAAGTCCATCGATCAAAATGGGTTATAACACTAATGGGTAGCTAGACTAACGTGTTCGGCAGATGCATATAAAACTTTGCAATTATAAAAGCATTTAAAGTTACAAAAAAAGGAAACACTGTAAAGAAGTAAAATATCAAAAATTTACACAAAAGGACAACAGTTAAGTAAAGTAGAAATAAGTGACGTTTGAACAGCTATATTAAAGTAATGAGTATTAAAAAACCATGTTACAAAATTGTGACTTTTTTTTGACAAAAAGAATAAGAAGTTTAAAAAAATTTATCGTTTATATATAAAAAATGAAAATATTCATGAAAACTATTTCAAAAAGTGATGAAATTCTCTTGAAATTTTAAAAATTGGTTAGCTTAAAGCATTTTTACTTTTAAGTTTGCAATTTAATGGAAAATATGACCTCAGAATTAAAATAACTTAACTTCTAGGACAATATCATATAGACAAGAGTTGTAGATTTTATAAGTAGAAAATATACATTGTTGGCAAATTCAATTTACTATTTTTGTTGGGAATAAGCCACAATTTTACTTGAAAGTTAATTTGACGTTTTTATTTCCACTTTGGAAATCTTCTCAATAGATTATTTTGAGAATGATTTCCGAATTGGAAATAGAAACGTCAAATAAACTTACTTTAGAGTAAATTGGTGGATTATTCCTAACAAAAATAAATTGAATTAAGATGCCACAAGAAAATAACTTTAGAACAATGGAGGTTTAATTATCAGGTATTGTTTCAATCATTTCTTAAATTGTTAAAATAAAGCAGTTTGTTTTATTTATTTTATTACAAAGGTAAAATAAATTAAGGAACAGAGTAATGAGTTTTACAATTTTTTTTATTTTCCCATAGTATTAGCCTAATAATATAATAGTCTTACTTTGCACAGGTAATAAATTACAAAAATTAAGATAGTAATACTTTGGCCTAGTGTGGATATTTTATGGTCTCGATCCCATATTATAAACACGGCAGTTCGCGCCCTCAAAATGGGCGGGCTTATGTAAATAGAAATAAAGAATATAAATGCAGGCAAAAACAAATTAGAAGCATTTTCTGTGGACGATGGATGGACCAGATTCATCATATTCTTGTTTGGAAATCCACATTTGTTGGAAGGTGGATAGAGAGGCCAAAATGGAACCACCGATCCATACAGAGTATTTCCTTTCTGGTGGAGCGATGATCTTAATCTTCATTGTGCTAGGAGCCAAGGCAGTGATTTCTTTCTGCATCCTGTCAGCAATGCCTGGGTACATGGTGGTACCTCCAGAGAGTACAGTGTTGGCATATAGGTCCTTACGGATATCAACATCACACTTCATTATGGAATTGTAGGTGGTTTCATGAATACCAGCTGCTTCCATACCCAAGAAGGATGGTTGGAAGAGGGCTTCTGGGCAACGGAATCTTTCATTACCAATGGTGATGACTTGTCCATCAGGAAGTTCGTAACTTTTTTCAAGGGAACTGGAACTGGCAGCAGTTGCCATTTCTTGTTCGAAGTCCAAAGCTACATAGCAGAGTTTTTCTTTAATATCTCTAACAATTTCTCTTTCTGCTGTGGTGGTGAAAGAGTAGCCACGTTCAGTCAAGATTTTCATGAGGTAATCAGTCAAGTCTCTACCAGCTAAGTCCAAACGAAGGATTGCATGGGGAAGGGCATAACCTTCATAGATGGGGACAGTGTGGGATACACCATCACCAGAATCCAATACAATACCAGTGGTACGACCAGATGCATACAAGGAGAGTACAGCCTGGATGGCAACATACATGGCTGGGGTGTTGAAAGTTTCAAACATGATTTGTGTCATCTTTTCCCTGTTGGCCTTGGGGTTGAGTGGAGCTTCTGTCAACAGAACGGGGTGTTCTTCTGGGGCTACTCTGAGTTCATTGTAGAATGTATGATGCCAAATTTTCTCCATATCATCCCAGTTTGTAACTATTCCGTGCTCGATGGGGTATTTTAGGGTAAGGATACCTCTTTTACTTTGTGCTTCATCACCTACATAGGAATCTTTTTGTCCCATTCCTACCATGACACCCTGATGTCTTGGGCGTCCAACAATTGAAGGGAATACGGCACGGGGTGCGTCATCCCCAGCAAAACCAGCTTTGCACATACCGGATCCATTGTCTACGACTAAAGCGGCAACTTCTTCTTCACACATGTTGATTGGTTAGTACTGAAACAAAGAAGAAAACAAATTAATATCTTAATCATATGCTGTTGAATAACATAGGTTTGAACTTAAAATGTTACAAAGAAAATATGCTTTATTATTTACTCAATACCAGCTTTTCTGGCTAATTTAACTCGAAGGGAGAAATGGTGATAAAAATAAATATAGGTGTTTATTATTTTCGAAATTGTAATTTTTTGCATTTTTTAAATCCTCAGTAAATGTGAAGACATGAGAAATGTTAGAAACAAAAATAAAGAATCACTCTCTTAAAACAGTTACTATTTTAATTGGGAATAAGCCACAATTTAAGTTTCAAATAAGTTTAAAACATTGTTTTTTATTTTGAGAATGATTTCCGAAGTGGAAATTGAAACGTCAATAAACTTATTTTAATCTTAAATTGTGATTTATTCCCAATTAAAATAGTAATTACTTTAATATATCACAAGAAAATAGCTTCAAATTCTTAAAACCGCACAGGTATTTCATACTTCAATCATATTTTAAAAAATAAAATAAAAACATAAACAGGTGTATTATAAAAAAAATTGGCGAGTTTGGGTAAATCTAAAATTAGGTAATTAAAAAAATTAGAAAAAAAAACTAGTTTACATTTTATTGAAATGAATTTGATTTCATGATTTTGTGTAACACGTTTAATTAAATTTTTCATTAGTAGAAATGATTTCCGACTATATTTTATTTTTACTGATTAGTGTAAAAGATAGTAGAACTTAGACAAATACGAGAAAAATAAATAGGAAGTGAAAAAGATATTTTCTTAGTCCTGATAATGATTAATGACAGAGCGCCACGTTAACATAAATATTGAATTTTAAGAGGTTGTTTGTATCTAATAAAAAAAATATATATAAATGTTTACTGACAGCAATGAAATTATCTATTAAAAGAAATTTTTACTGGACAAAAATATGAAATATTTAAGAAAACCGTTATAGAAACCGGTGCTTTCGAGTAGGCAAGCTATTGACCGATCTATACCGCATCTCAGCGGAATGGAATTTTAAAAACTCATGTGAGAATGAGTAACGACCGCGCCCGTATTTATTAATTAATAAAAGTAAAGATAAATATTTAATACACCTAATTTTACGAAAAGAAAAAAAAAATCACTTGCACTATTAAATCAAATCTACTTTTTCGAATAAATAAGAACAACCACTTCTCACTTAAAATCCAAGAAGAAAAGCACGTTATCACGACCACACCTATTTTTGTAACGAACTTTTTCAAAACCAAATTGTTTCACATACGATTTTTATACAAATTCGAACACTTACTTTGATTTCTATGTAAATGTTAAAAAATAAGTTATTCTAAAGGACAGCACTGACACTGCTGTACTAAGCACTAAATATCACAAGACTGGAATGAAGTCTAACCTTCAAGAAATCAACCATATATATGATTATAATTCCCCTCCCGTTAAAAACCGCTCGAGATCACGGTTGAACCAATGGCGAACAACATTACCATATATGGATTTGTATTCGCTTCTGTGATAGGAGATAGTAGCGCCACTGAACGGTGCGCAACAAAACTTTGTTAAGGGATGGGCCGTTAGATTTGTTTACATTTTGTTGAGATAGGTTATAGAAAGTATACCGGAGAAAGAGAAAGTGTTAGAAGTTAGAAATAGGTACTATGATAGGTTAGAAGTAGGTATTTTAATTAAAATGCTTCTGAACTGATATATTGCAAGCAAAAAATGTGTTTCACGTTTTGGTAACTATTTAAAAATAAAATATTAATGTGCTAGATCACCATGGACGAAGTGTATGGAGCAAGAACGGAGGATTCGATTAAAGAAACAAGAGTCTTTAAGTTTAATCAGTTGTTGAAAAGTAAATCCCATCTAGAAATGGGCAAATTCGGAATAAACAAGGAATTGGTATAGCAAACACATAATTACAAAAAATCGTATGTTTAGTTTACAGTTTTTGTTAATTACAAAAAATTATTAAAGACTTAAATGAACTTACTTTTAAATAAAAATAATGATACTCAGGTATTCATAATTGATTACCAACATACATGGCCTAGACATGGACATGTATTAAGAAGAAGTTACAACATAATTAATAAAAATAAACAAAAAGCCACATAAGGACAAACGCTGATATCACGGGCTAGACAGAAAAATTAATAGGAAAATGTACAAAACAAAAAAGATAGTCGCCGCGACGTCCAACTTACTTAAAATATACTTAAAAAATATCAAAAATAAATGAGATGGGGTAGTAACATTTAGCAAACTGCAGGTCCAGTGATAAATATGAAGACAGGATAAATGGGGACGAGTGGAAGAGCCCTAAATTCATAATATGTGTAGATAGATGTTTTTCATGAATATTTCATAATTATTGTGTAGGTAAAATGCACAGTAATATAATATCCTTCCTTCCCTTATGGATGACTTTTTGCAGTACTTAAGGGTGAAATAATATTGTTCTGAAGCTATTTTCTTGTGGCATCTTAATGCAATTACTATTTTTATTGGGAATAAGCCATTGGTATTGATTAATTATATATAATATATATTAATTAATAGACATTGGCTAATTCCCAATAAAAATAGGGTGAATGGTTTCTATTAAAATAAAAACCCATGTTTACTACATTAATCAAGCATAACAATTAATTTTTGGCAAGTCTAACTTACTATAAAAGCTTTTCTAATAAATTTGCCTACCTTTTAGCAAGGAAATAAACTATTGTAGAATTTATTACCTGTATGTCATTATAAAGTCTCTTGTATTTGATGGGATTACTAACAAAAGCAGGTAGCAGACATAACTATAAATAAATAGTCCTTTGTTGTGGTCTATTTGTTTATGGTAGATACCTTTTGAAACTTACCAACACCATTCAAATACAAATGACTTTTTAATAAGCTTAAGATAAGGTTTTCTGCAATAATTTGTTGGCAACTATACTTTTGAATAAAAACAATGATACTCAGTATTAATAATTGTTTTGTACCATACAGGGTCCAGGCATGGACATATACCAAAAGAACTAAAAGAAAACAAAATTAGTAAGAATAAATAAAGAGCCACATAGGGACAAATGCCAAGGTTATCATGGGATAAAAAATGAATGGAAAAAAAGTAAAACAAAAAGGGTAGACGCCATAGAGCATACCCTAAAAACTTAAATGGAGATGTACTAGAAATAACGAAAGATATGAAAATGGATCAAAGAGCTTGAACACTAGATATCACATATGTACTGCAAAAATGTCCAGCTGTTGAGAGCAAATGAGATGGGATGATGACATTTGGAAAATTGCAGGTGCAGTGTGGAATAGGAAGACCGGGATAAATGGGAGAGGCCTAAATTCATAATATATGTATAGATAGACTCATAACATTTAAATTTGTTGTGCATATTTCATAATTATTGTGTATGTAAAATACACAAGAATATATCATACTTTCTTCCCTCATAATGAAGGAATGACATTTTAATAAGCTTAAGATAAGGTTTTCTGCAGTAATTTGTTGGCATCTATACTTTTAAATAAAAACAATAATACTCAGTATTCATAATTGTTTTGTACTATACAGGCCCAGGCATGGACATATACCAAAAGAACTTAAAAGAAAACAAAAGTAGTAGGAATAAATAAAGAGCTTGAACATTGGACATCATATATGTACTGCAAAAATATCCAGCTGTTAAGAGCAAATGAGATGGGATGATGGTATTTGGAAAACTACAGGTGCAGTGTGGAATAAAAAGACCGGGATAAATGGGAGAGGCCTAAATTCATAGTATGTATAGATACTCACAAGTTTTAAATTTGTTGTGCATATTTCATAATTATTGTGAATGTAAAATACACAAGAATATATCATACTTTCTTCCTTCATAATGGAGGATGTATTTTTTTAAGTACTTTAAGGGAACAGTTTTGATTTTTTGATTAATATACTTAATAATAATATAAAGCCTCACTTACTGATTTAATTTAAATGAAAGCTTTCCTAATCAGTTTGTGTACTTTTTAGAACATAATTTTAACAAATGCCTAAAAATTAAACCATTTAATTTAAGAATCCACATGGAAGTAGATACCATAATTAAAATAAAATAAAATCAGGAAAGATATGACATTGAAACAACCTGAAATTATACTAAAAATAATCAATTGTATAGCTTAAACACTAAAATCAGAAGTGAAACAAATAGAATAAAATGCAAGCATGAATTGAATAGAACCTTAACTAGGAAACAAAGCAGTACATGAAATAACACTAATTATTTTAGAAAATAACATCAAAATTATGTGATGATAACCATGGATGTTTAAGTGAAAAGAAACTCCCACCTAGAATTGACAAATCGAAATAAAGAAATGGACACAGAAAACGCACAATTATAAAAAAATCTATGTCTGGTTTACTGATACATAGATATTTTGTCTAAAATACAAAATTGTCATAAATTATTGTTTATAAATTTGTTTACATAATTTTAAAGTGTATTTTATGAAGACTTATTGAAATTACATTTAAAGTAAGACAATGATACTGAGTATTCATAATTTGATTTCTAAAATACAGGCCTGACATATACCAAGAATTATTTAGTAATAGAAACAGACAGCCAAAGAGGTTATCAACAAAGGACAAATGCTGAGAATATCATTATAGGGTAATAAAGAAAAATGAATGGAGAAAAAGAAAACTGCAGAAATTGTCCAACATAAAGCAAAGGGCAAATTCCTAGTCATTCGCTATATACCATAGTTTAAAAAAACTTACAGAGAATAAAGACTCTGGTGTATGATGATATATTTTATCAAAATACTTCAAATTTATCCAAAAGGATCATAAACCTATGAAACATTTACGGTCCAGTTGGACCTTCATCAGTGAAACATTTTAAAAGTAGTTGGAACTAGCTACCAAAGTAGGTGTAAAATCTTATAATGACACAAGGTTGATCCTATAGGATCAACCTTCTGTCATTATAATTTACTTTGATTGTCATGTAATCCAAAGGTTTTTTTAGACCTATTTTGGTAGCTAGTTCCAACTACTTTTGAAATGTGTCTAGACATGTGCCAAACAATTTTAAGATACTAGTGCCGCTTCTACAGGCAAAAATTCCAAACAGAATCTAAAAGAAACTAGTGAACCAATACAGATACACATTGACTTTGGGAGTCCTTATGATTACACTAATAGAACATTCTTGATCTAAATACTAAAAGAATTTTAGAGTAGAGTAAATTTTAGAATTAATATACAAATGTTCATTATTAATAAAAGAAACAGTTCATAGTAATGTCTGATTTCAAAATAAACAACATGATTCATGTTAGAAAAGAACGAGATTAAATTAAAGCGCCAATACTAGAACAATAATAAAAAGTACAATTTTAATACTTGCAGACAATGTTGATATCAAAGCAGTATCATATTAATGTGATAGTAGCATTCCAACAGATAGAAAGAACAGTTCAGAACATTGACATATAAAAATTAATGAAAGCAAAACAAAATATGTTTGCTGACAAGACACAGTTACCTAAAAATAAAACCATAAAATATAACTTTAAAGAAATACAGTTCATAAGAAGACTGAAGGATATACTCATATATGATATATGGAATCGAAATCCTGAAGAATATATCCAACTGATGATGCTAATCCAGAACTTGCAGAAAAATGTTATAATTATAAAAACTGTTTATTTTCCAAATGATTTCATTTGGAAAATCCCTTGTTTAATTTATTATAAGAAAATATCACTGATATGGCTCATCCTTACTCAAGATTACATATCATCAAACAAATTAAAATTACATAAATACTTAAGATATCAATCATAACTTTCAATCAAATTGGGATTGTTAAAAGAAAATAAATTAAAGAAAAGAATACCTGACAATAAAATAAAGTAGAAACATGGTAGAGGGAATTAGAAGATAAAAATAACTTTAGTTTTACAGTAAAAATTTGTAAAATGACAACAAATATTTGTAAACATTGCTTTAGAACATTTCCTTGTTATTCCTATAAATACAGTTTTTGTGACATTTCTATGTATACAAGAGAAACCATAAAAACATTGAAATTTTAATAAAATAGACAGTACAGTACCAATAGTCAGTGTTTTTGTTCAAATCACTATGAATTTGGAAGATATGAATTATGGAGGATTACATTTTTGTCTTACTGATAAACTACTGTGACAAGAGATATATGTAAGGAAGTTAAGATAAATCTTTCATTGATCTGAATAAACCTATGCTCATACTCTTATATTTCACAATTTGAAAAAATTTTCAGATTTTAAAATTTTGGAAATTTCAGATATAGTAACTACAGAAATTAAACAACAAACTGCTTAAATAGCAATACATA